GGAGTTTTGCTCTTGTTGCCCAGGCTAGAGTGCAAGGGCATGATCTCAGCTCACTGCAACCTGCGCCTCCTGGGTTCAAACAATTCTCAGGCTTCAGTCTCCCGAGTAGCTGGGATTACAGGCATCCACAACCACTAATTTTCTGTATTTTTAGTAGAGACAGTGTTTCATCATTTTGACCAGGCCGGTCTTGAACTCCTGACCTCAAGTGATCCACCCAACTCAGCTTCCCAAAGTGCTGGGATTACAGGTGTGAGCCACCGTGCCCAGCCTTGGAAATATCTTTTAATTTTTTTAGAAATGAGGGTCTTGCTATGTTGCCGAAGCTGCTTTCTAACTCCTGAGCTCAAGTGGTCTTCCCACCTTGTCCTCCCAACATGCTGGAATTACAGGCATAAGCCACTGCACCCAGCCTAATGATCTTATTAAAATGTAAATAATATCAGGGCCGGGTTCTGTGATTTACATCTGTAATCCCAGCACTTTGGAAGGCCGAGGTGGGTGGATCACTTGAAGTCAGGAGTTCAAGACCATCCTGGCCACCATGGCGAAACCCTATCTCTACTAAAAACCACAAAAATTGGCTGGGCATGGTGGTGCATGCCTGTAATCCCAGTTACTCAGGAGGCTAAGGCAGGAGAATCACTTGAACCCAGGAGGCAGAGGTTGCCATGAGCCGAGGTTGCATCACTGCACTCTAGCCTGGGCAACACAGCGAGACTCCATCTCAAAATATAAAATAAAATCATATATCACCTCTCAGTAGCTTCTCATATCAGAGTAAAAGCTAAAATACTTGTAATGGCCTACAAGAGAGCTGAAAGGGATAATGTCTGAAATGAAAAATTCAATGGATGGACTTACACTGAACTTAAAGACATGGCAGTACAAATTACCCAGAGTAGAGCACAGAGAGGAAAATGACTGAAAAGGAACTGAGCCTCTGGAACCTGTGGGGTAATATCAGGCAGTCTTAACGGACGAGAGGGAGAAAAAATATTTAAGAAACATTTTTCCCAACTTTTCAAAGAAATTTTTACAAATTCATTGAAAACTATAAACCTACAAATACTATAAACACAACAAACTGTACGCCAGGATAAACAAAGAGAAAACTATACCAAGGCACATCAGAATCAAATTGCTGAAAATCAGTGATGAAGAAAACATTTAAAAAGCTGCTAGAGCCGGGCGCAGTGGCTCACACCTGTAATCCCAGCACTTTGGGAGGCTGAGGCAGGCGGATCACAAGATCAGAAGATCGAGACCATCCTGGCTAACACAGTGAAACCCCTTCTCTACTAAAAATACAAAAAATTAGCCGGGCGTGGTGGCGGGTGCCTGTAGTCCCAGCTACTCGGGAGGCTGAGGCAGGGGAATAGCGTGAACCCAGGAGGCAGAGCTTGCAGTGAGCCAAGATCACGCCACTGCACTCCAGCCTGGGCAAGAGTGCGAGACTCCATCTCAAAAAGAAAAAAAGCAGCTAGAGGGAAAAAAAAAAAAAAAGGCATATTACATACCTGAACCCAGGAGTTCAAGACCAGCCTGGGCAACAAAGTGAGACCCTGTCTCTACAAAAGATTTAAAAATTAGGGCTGGGTGTGGTGGCTCATGCCTGTAATCCCAGCACTTTGGGAGGCAGAGGCAGGCGGATCATGAAGTCAGCAGATCGAGACTATCCTGGCTAACACAGTGAAACCCGTCTCTACTAAAAATACAAAAAAATTAGCCAGACATGGTGGCGGGCGCCTGTAGTCCTAGCTATCCAAGAGGCTGAGGGCAGGAGAATGGCGTGAACCCAGGAGGCGGAGCTTGCAGTGAGCCGAGATCGTGCCGCTGTACTCCAGCCTGGACGACAGAGCAAGACTCTGTCTCAAAAATAAATAAGTAAATAAATATTAGGTGTGGGGGTGCACACCTGTAGCCCCAGCTACTCTGGAGACTGAGGCAGGAGGATCGCTTGAGCCCAGGAGGTTAAGGCTGCAGTGATCCATGATTGCACCATGGCACTCCAGCCTGGGCGACAGAGCAAGACTCTGCCTAAAGAAAAGACATGTTACGTACAAGGAAACAAAGATAAGAAGAACTGTTGATTTCTCATTAACCCTTTTCCTGTTTAGAAAAAAAGTACAGCTCGCTGCCAGTGCGCCTTTAATTTTACATAAACACACTCTTTGAGGCTGAAGCAAAGCTGACTGATTTTCAATGTGAAAATAAAATATACAGACTGTTTTTGGAGTTATTTCTAAACAGAACTAACATCAGAATCATCTGAGTCATCAGAATCATGTATTTCGGAAAAAAGGTTGATTCATTAAATGAATCTTCAGCCAACCATTCGAGAATGATGTTAATAATTAACATCAGCCAGTCACAGTGGCTCACACCTGTAATCCCAGCACTCTGGGAGGCCGAGGTGGGTGGATCATGAGGTCAAGAGATCGAGACCATCCTGGGCAACGTGGTGAAACCCCATCTCTACTAAAAGTACAAAAAATTAGCTGAGCATGGTGGTGCGCGCCTGTAGTCCCAGCTACTTGGGAGGCTGAGGCAGGAGAATTGCTTGAACCCAGGAGGCGGAGATTGCAGTGAGCCGAGATCGCACCACTGCACTCTAGCCTGGCAACAGAGTGAGACTCCATCTCAAAAATAGTAATAATAATAGTAATAATAATAAACATCATGCACAGGAATGCTATGCTTTCTATGCTTTGGCATTTTCAGCAATCGAGAATTACTGTATTTTGTAAATGGAAATTCCACTACTAAGAACAGAATGCTATAACTAGAATGATGTCTTTTCTTTCCAAAGTCAGTATACTAGAGTGATGAGATAATAATAATAAAAGCAAGATATTTCATGGCAAAGTTATCTCAGGGTAAATGCTGTATCTGCAAGTGCTGCTGGTGAGTATTCTCGGGACAAATGGGAAAAGGGTTAAAAGCAATGTAACGCAGAAGAAAACGGAATGGTACCTTGAAAGCACTGAGAGGACTTATTTTTCTTCATTCTGAAATATACAGATTTTCTACCTTTTTCCACTGAGAAGTCCTAGAATCAGTGAGCCTAGAACCGTGGGCACCCTAGCATCCTGAATGTGGTCCCTAAATACTTTTTGCCAGTAAACGGAACAAGGGATCCTTAGAAGGATGGTTCATTCCAAGTCTGGGACAAGATATATAACAAACAAAAGTAGAGGGCTGGGCACAGTGCCTCACACCTGTATTCTCAGCACACTGGGAGACTGAGGTAGGTGGATTGCCTAAGGTCAGGAATTCGAGACCAGCCTGGCCAACATGGTGAAACCCCTTCTCTACTAAAAATACAAAAATTAGCCCGGCGTGGTGGCGCGTGCCTGTAATCCCAGCTACACAGGAGACTGAGGCAGGAGAATCACTTGAACTCGGGAGGCGGAGGTTGCGGTGAGCTGAGATTGCACCACTGTACTCCAGCCTGGGTGACAGAGTGATACTCTGTCTCAAAAAAAAAAGAAAATAATAATAAAACCTAGAGCATTTTATTGTGCTAGAAAGCAGGAAAGCTAATAAGGTCTAATGGATATATCAAAAGAACACAAGAGCCTACAACAGGAGCTTCCACTGGCCAAAGGTAGGACAGTTTGAGCCTCAGAAAGATGACTGGGGCTGGGCCCAGTGACTCACATCTGTAATCCCAGCACTTTGAGAAGCTGAAGCAGGGAGATCACTTGAGGTCAGGAGTCCAAGACCAGCCTGGCCAACATGGCGAAACCCCTTCTCTACTAAAAATACGAAAATTAACTGGTGGTACGCGCCTGTCATCCCAGCTACTTGGGAGGCTGAGGTAGGAGAATCACCTGAACCCAGGAGGCGGAGGTTGCAGTGAGCCAATATCGTGCCATCGCACTCCAGCCTGGGAGACAGAGTGAGACTCCGTCTCAAAAAAAAAAAAAAAAAACAAAACCAGAAATGTATCAGTCAAATACAAACATAAAAGAAACCTACCAGCCAAATGCAAAGTGGGGACTTTGGATCTTGACTTTAATGTAAATGGACATTTTTTAAGATTTGAGGAAATTGGCAGATGGACTGGGATACTAAAATATTTTTGTCTATGTTTTTAGGTGTGATAATGGTGTTAGGTTGTGTGAAATGTTTTTACTGTCTGATAGATGTACAGGCTCAAGTATTCCCAGGTGAAGTAATTGCCTGGGGTTTGCTTTTAGCCACACGTCCCTGCACAAAAAGTGGGAGGAATGAAAATTCGATTAGATAACATTGACAGAATGTTGATATTCATTCAAGTTTTGCTGTGGGTACCTGAGGGGTAGTCATTACGTTACTCTATTTTATGCAAGTTTTAATATTTCTGTACTAAAAATTTAGAAGACCATGTGCTTAAGGACCTTTCACATATCTGTAAGAGAGAGCCTCACTCAGAATATATAGTGTTGCCTTACAATTAGGTGCAGTTCTGTTGAGTTTGGGATGGGTACCAGTTTTATGGGAGAAACAAACTGATGCTAAAGGCAGTATCCTTATAGAAATAAAAATGTTTTAATTGGCAACATGAAGTAACACTGAAAATTCTTAGATGCACACAAAAGCTTATAAAAGCATAACACTAGGGGGTCACATAGTAATATTTAGTAGACTGGCTGTGCCTCAGTTGTCTTGCCAGAGGGGATCCTCTAAAAAGTTCATCATCACAGAGCGCAGCACCTGGACAAAAGTGGTACACGCGGCTCCTCTGCGCACTCAACAAGTCCTTCCCAAGGGCTGTCATGTCAGTGCCAGAGCCACCCCTGAAGGACTGCTTTTGTTTCGAGGATTTGAGAGATGGATTCCTGAGGATCTAACACCATATTCCATTATGCGTTGTGGGTTTTTTATTGTTTTCCTTATCATGATTTATTATTTTTTAAATTTTTCTTTGAAGTTTGCTCATTTTAATCCATGTTCATTTCTCCCTGTGTGTGTGTTTGTGTCACGCTTGCTGTCTTTGCCTCCATTGTTCCTAGGTTACAGTATAGCCAGGATATACCCTGTCACTTGGCCGATGAGCATGCGCTGATAGCCTCCTATGTGGCCCGTCTGCAGCACTGTGCACGGTCAGTGGTGGTGCAGCAGCAGTGGGCAACCAGGGGTGATCAGAGGGAGGGAGAGCTTTGCTACCTGGGGTTGTCAGCTGGAAAAAAAACTGCATGTAGCGTTTTTCTTGAGCAACTACCAGCTATGTTTGGCAGAGTTAAAATAGTTGCTAAGCATTCGCTTCTACAAGAGAGGGAGGGTTGCCAAGCCTGGGCGCTTACCTAAACATGGAGTCAGACATTCTCCTTTAAAGTGGGGTTCACTTCCTTCAACTTACACTCAAAAAAGATACAAACCTATGAGAGGTCGACATTTCCAAAGATGCAGTATTCACAGGGGTATGTGATGCAGCCTCTTCCTGTTCATTCTTACCTGAATAATGAAATCTTTGTATTAACATTCAAAGTTTAGAGTTGATCAGCCCACAGATATCCTGCTTTGTCTTATCTGGGGACTTTGATACTGTCACCCTATTACATCTTTACCACCCTTTATCTGTTAGCAGGAATCTGTCATTGTTGATTATTTAAACCAGTGATTCCCAACAATGGTATTGGATCACTGTCACCTGAGGGTCTTTTTCCAAATTATATAGACCCTCTCTATTGTAATACTTACATATATTATAATAGCTCCACATTCCCCTTACGCTGAAAACTACTACAGTAGTGATTCATTGTTAATAAGAGAATGTGTCTGATTCTTCAGTGGTTCGGGATGGAAAAACATTTGATAACTGCTAACTATAGCAAAGTTCATCCTTTTTTTAAAAGATTTAGTACCGAAAAAAATGGTATTATGTTCAGGTAGGTCCAAAGTCTCCTGCCCACTCCATGCCCACACCCACCACCATTCTTCAAGTAGGATGACAGGTAAAGTTTAAACAATCTAAAGACATCCTTCCCCTATGTAACAGCAAAGTAGAGTCACAAGGCCAAACAACTTGGAAAGCCATGCTTTGAGATTCTTATTCTTAGAGAGAAAACCGTAATTTATAAGCTATACCCATAACAGAGGCTGAAGCTTTAAATTTTGATCTTAGTTTTGCTTACAGCATGCCTTGGCTCCTTGGGAGGGTCATCTGACCTTGCTGCTACTCCCCGTAATAATAGAAGAATAAATTAATAGTCAGTCGGGAAATATACATATGAAAAAGACTGTTTTTAATATTATACTTTATACCGTTTTCCACAGTTTTCCTGATATGACTAAATAGCATCATTTTTCTGGGGTATTTATGTATCTCTAAAGCTTGGAGAAGTAGGGTTTTCTAACCTTCTAAGTATGTTTAATAGGCTTACCCTCTAAAAGGGAAGGAAGGGCCTGATAATTGTGTGCGCTGCATCACAAAGTGTCTTCTCATCCAACAGGTGATTTCTTCGCACACTGTCCCAACTTCTTGGTCTCTAGGAATAGAGTTGTTTCACCTTAGGCAAGACAAATTCTTTATTATCAGTAAAGGCAATTGTCCAGAGTGAGCAAAAGTTTCCATGGTAAAAATAGCAGCAGAATGTTTAACAGAGACTGTTACCTAGTAATGTAGCCCAATCAGCTTTATGGTAGGTTTAGCTAAGGCCCTCAAGTCTCACCTCGGCTCCCTGAGCAAAAATTGGTGGCTGGTAGCCTTGGGAGAACATGACGAGTGAGTGAGTACTGCCTGACTTCTTGATTAGTAATCTAAGAAACTGAGCTTCATACTTCTTCCGAGAAGTCAGAACTTTCCTGGCTAACTAATTCTGAAAATGAAAGTCAATTCAAACAGAAGAATAAGGATCCTTTCTAATTGCCCTCAAATAATTTTCATTGACCTTAAAACCTCTCATCAACACAAGCTTCTAGTTTCTGGCTAGAAAACATAGCCAATTAAAGCAGTCTGTCATCCACACTCATGTATAAATGACAAATAGGATCAGCCTTCCTAAGGAGATAGAATGTGATTGAGAAAAAGGAGCTCTTTTGCACAGAAGAACCTATTGTATCCCTTGCCAGATAACAGAGGTCAGCCACTTTAGGCCGCACTTCTTAGGCTTCCAATCCCTCCATAATATGATCCACTTGTATTCTTAAGCATCCATTTTTATTGTTTTTTTTTTTAATTTAAAAGATAGTTCTCTTATTTCACACAAATACCTTTAAAGCACAAATATTACAGTTTATCTCTCACCTTGGGGCCTTGACCCTAAAATATTAAAGCCGCCTGATAGTAGTCTGTTCTTATTACAAGATCATTTTTCAGAGGATGATTATCCTGGAGATGGATATTTGCATGCTTAAAATTATAAAGTGTTGACAAATGTCATAGGCAGAAAACTCAAAGCACTTTAAAAAAATCCTAGAAGAAAGACTAAGTTAAGCTTAAAGACTTAGCCAAAGAGATAGAAAGATTTTAAAAAAAGCAAAAACTAGAAAAAATATAGTTGATTCTACACATGAAAATTTCAGACAGATCTTTATTGATTTAGCCGCACCCTTCCCAGATTCCCCTCAGTAATTATAACAAACTTCGATGAGTATTGAAGTCATGTCTTTAAATTTTTCTATATGACTTGTCATACTGCTAAATTCTGATCAGGGGTTTTTGGAAACCCGAGAACATAGGGCCAAAGTGGAGGTAAGCCACAACAGCCACCTCCAGTCATTTAGTCAACATCATCACTGTTGTCTTAAAGCATCTGCCAGTCCTAAACAGAGAATTATATAGCCACAGTCCCTATTAATCTGGGACTGTCTTGATAAGGATAAATAGCTTTGATATACTAAATTAAAGAAGTCATGTATTTCAGAATCCAAAGTTCCATATCAGCATCCCATATGCAGAGCCAGCCTATTACTCAAGAACCCTTCCCTCATCCAGATACCACATTATCTGATAACCTGTCTGAATGGGTCCTTAGATTTTTTAGAGTGTTGGTACTGTTGTTAAAGAGTAATGCATTAAACTAATTAACTCCAAGATGGGGCTATAGATGTAGAATGAGCATAGTAAAGGAAGAGAAAGGGGCACGAAAAGGGGAATATTTGATGTCATGGAATCTTTCCAGCTTTACAGTGTGTTTGGCCTGCCCTGACAAGGCCAAACTTTTGCTTAGCCAGTGTTAAGTATATTTTTTCTCAGCCCTCTATTTTTCATAATGCTCTTGGTCTTTTTGAATTTGAGATCAAGGTCTAAAAAGTCATCAGTTTTAAACATTTGGTTAGAAATCCCTGTCTCAGACTTTGTGGGTGCCCTGTGTTTTCTTAGCCCTTGCATTCAAAATTAAGTGCCCCTTTGATGGTGGGGGAGCAGTGGGGATGTGCTGCCAATGAGGAATGACAAATGTGGCCTCCTCGTTTCTCTAAATCCCCTTTTTTCTCAGAAGGCCATTAGTATCTATGACCCAGACCTCTAGTTCTTTTATTACCATTCTTTTATGAGCTTTTCTTCCATCTATTCTAAGAATGGAACAAGAATAAGGGATGTTTAATAGACACCTGTTGCATTTTTATTTCCTTGGCAGTGTTCTGGACAGTCCTAGCCGACTGGATGAGGAACACCGTCTTATAGCTCGATATGCTGCCCGGCTGGCTGCAGAAGCAGGAAACGTGGTAAGTTAATGGAGGATCCCAGGAAAGTAGCAGAAATTAGCATTACTTTAATATACAAATGGAAAGGGAATAGTAGACATGAAATTTAGGAGAACAGGTACCTCAGGGACAAAAGGAAGGGGAGTGTTTAGGGAGGAGATTGAAGGGGCCCTTAATTTTATCTAAATGTTCTCTTTATTTGAAAAATGAACCCACGCCTGTAATCCCAGCACTTTGGGAGGCCGAGGAGGGCGGATCATGAGGTCAGGAGATCAAGACCATCCTGGGTAACACAGTGAAACACCATCTCTACTAAAAAAAATACAAAAAAATTAGTTGGGCGTGGTGGCAGGCGCCTGTAGTCACAGCTACTTGGGAGGCTGAGGCAGGAATGGCTTGAAGCCAGGAGGCGGAGCTTGCAGTGAGCCGAGATCACACCACTGCTCTCCAGCCTGGGTGACAGAGCGAGACTCCATCTCAAAAAAAAAAAAAAAAAAAAAAAAGAATCAAGAAGAGAAAATCAAAGAGCCAGAGTTTCATTCTTTTAAGATATCAATAAAATTAATAAATGCAGCAATACTCATCAAGTAAACAGGATAAAACACTAATTACTAATATCAGGAATGGAAAAAGAGACATTGCTGTAGATCCCACAGACATTAAAAGAATGATAAGGGAATATGATGAACAACTTTTTCCCAGTAAGATTAACAACCTAGATAAAATAGGTAAATTCCTTGAAAGACGCAAATTAATAAAACTGACACAGGAACAAATAAAAAAATCAAATATTCCTATGTCAGTTAAAGAAGTTGAATTCATAATTAACTTCCCACAAAGAAAACCCCAAGCTTGGCCAGGCGCAGTGGCTCACGCCTGTAATCCCAGCACTTTGGGAGGTCGTGGCGGGTGGATCACGAGGTCAGGAGTTCAAGACCAGCCTGGCCAACATGGTGAAACCCCGTCTCTACTAAAAATACAAAAATTAGCTGGGCGTGGTAGCAGGCTCCTATAATCCCAGCTACTCGGGCGGCTGAGGCATGAGAATCACTTGAACCCAGGAGGTGGAGGTTGCAGTGAGCCGAGATGGAGCTACTGTACTGGGATAGAGCGAGATTCAGTCTCAAAAGAAAAAAAAAAGAAAAAAGAAAACCCAAGCTCAGATATTTAAGGAAGAAATAATGTCGATTTAATGCAAACTCTTTCAGAAAATAGAGCAAGAAGGAACACTTTACAAGTCATTTTATGAGGCCACTATAACCTGATAAAAAAACAATACAGAGGCATTACAGGCAAAGAAAATTGCTGGCCAAATTCTCTCATGAACTAGATACAAAAATCCTTAACAAAATATTAGCAAATTGAATCTAGCAATATACAAAAAGGATGATACTCCATGATAAAGTGAGATTTATCCTAGAAATGCAAATGTATTTAATATATAAAAATCAATGTAATTCACCACATTAACAGTTAAAAGATAAAAATTATAAGATCAATAGATGTAGAAAAAGCATTTGAAAAAATACAGCACTTATTTATGATAAAACTTTTCCACATGCTAAGAATAGAAGGAAACTTCCTCACCCTGATAAAGAACACCTACAAAAACCTGCAGTTAAGATCACATTTACAGTTTAAATTTTGAAATATTTCCCCCTAATATTGGGAACAATTCAGAGATATCCACTTTTACCACCTCTATTCTACATTATACTGGAGGACCTAATTAATGCAACATGACAAGAAGAAAGGGGTATAAATATTGGAAAGACAGAAGTAAAGCAGTCTTTATTTGAAGATGACATGATTATGCATATGAAGTCCTAAGAAGTCTAAAAAAACACTAGTAGAACAGGTAAGTAAATTTTATAGTATTGCTACAAGATATAAAGTGTATATCCCAGCACCTTGGGAGGCTGAGGTGGGCAGATCGCTTGAGCTCAGGAGTTTGAGACCACCCTTTGGCAGCATAGCAAAACCCTGTCTCTATAAAAATATATATATATATACACACACAAAAATTAGCTGGACGTGGTGGCACGCACCTGTAGTCCCAGATGCTGGGAAGGCTGAGGTGGGAAGATCAGTTGAGCCTGGAGGTCAAGGCTGCAGTGAGCCATGATTGTTCCACTGCACTCCAGCCTGGGCAACAGAGCAAGACCCTGTCTCACAAAAAGAAAAATACTATTTAATGTAGCATTAAAAATACCAAGTACTTAATGGATAAATTTAATGAAAGATGTTCAAGACTGAAAACTGTAAAACGTTACTAAAAGAAATTAAAGAAAACCTAAATAAATGAAGAGGTATGCCATATTTATGGATTAAAAGATTAATATTGTTAGGATGGCAGCTTTTCCTAAATTGATCTGTATATTTAATACCAATTCACATCTCAGCAGGCTTTTTTATAGAAATTAGCAAACTTTTTAAGATATATTTGGAGAACCAAAGGACCTAGAATAACCATAACAGTCTTGAAAAAGAACGACAAAGTTGGCAGACTTAATCCTACTTGACATTAAGACTTACTATAAAGCTATAGTAATCAAGAAAGTAAGATATTGTCAAAAGGATGAACAAATAAAGGAATAGAATAGAGTATCCATAAAAGAGACTCATGTGTAAGGTCAGATGACTTTGAGCAAAGGTAAGAGGCAAATCTGTCAGAAAAGGAAACTCTTTCTATTTTTAACAAATGCTGTTGGAACAACTGAATATCTACATAGGGAAGAAAAGAATCTTAACCCCCACCTCACACCATACAAAGAAATCAATTTGAAGTGTATCATAAACTTAAAAGGTAAAACCATAAAGCTACTAGAAGTATAGGAGAATAATTCTTCATTGTCTTATGAAGAAGAATAAAAATTTATTAGAGTTTATAGGGATCACAAACCATTTTAAAAATTGATAAATTAGACCTTACCAAATATAAAATCTTTTGCTCATTAGAAGATACTATTAAGAAACAGACAAACCACTATCTGAAAGAAAATATTTGCAAAACATGTCTGACAGAGGACAGAATATATAAAGAATTCCTGCACCTCAGCAATCAAAAGACAACCCTTTTTTTTAAAACGAGCAAAAGACTTGAACGGATATTCCACAAAGAAGATATACCAATGGCCAATAAGCACATGAAAATGTGCTTGATATCATTAATCATCAGGAAAATGCCAATGATACCACGATATACCCTCCAGAATGGCTACAGTGAAAAAGTTGGATGATACCAAATGTTGGAGAGGATGTAGAGCAACCAGAAATCTCACCCTGTTGTTGGCGGGCCTATAAAATGATACAGCTACTTTGGAAAACTATTTGGCAGTTTCTTAAAGAAGCAAGCATTTATACTATGACCCAGCAATTCTACTTTTTTTTTTTTTTTTGCAATTCTACTCTTACATATTTATCCAAGAGAAATGAAAACATTTTCACAAAAAGCTTTGTACAAGAATGTTCATAGCAGTTCAATTCATAATAGCTGGAATAGCCAGCGTAGTTATCAACAGAATAGATAAACAAAATGTGTTATATTCATACAATAGAATTTTCTCAACACAAAAAGGAATAACATTGATATATGCACCGACGACATGGGTGAATATCAAAAATATTGTGAGTAATAAAAGAAGCCAGACCAAAAAAGTACATACTGTTTTTTTCTATTTATGTGAGATTCTAGAATAGGCAAAACTAACTTATCCATTACTGTAAGTTAATCATCAACTCCTAATCGTAATCAGATAAGGGGTTGTTTCTGGAAATGGAAATATTGAAGGAAGATGAAGAAACTTTCTGGATTGATAGAAATATTTCACATTTCAATAGAGATGTGGGTTGCAGGAGTATACATTTGTCACAATGGATTAAATGAAAAACTTTTTTTTTTTCTTGAAAGAGAATCTCACTCTGTCACCCAGGCTGGAATGCAGTGGCGCAGTCTCAGCTCACTGCAAGCTCCATCTCCTGGGTTCACGCCATTCTCCTGCCTCAGCCTCCCGAGTAGCTGGGACTACAGGCACTGGCCACCACGCCCGGCTAATTTTTGTATTTTTAGTAGAGACGAGGTTTCACTGTGTTAGCCAGGATGGTCTCGATCTCCTGACCTCGTCACCCGCCCACCTCAGCCTCCCAAAGTGCTGGGGTTACAGATGTGAGCCACTGCGCCCATCAATGGAATACTTAAGATCTAAGTATTATATCTCAATTAAAACAAAAAGGAACCAAGAATGTTGAATATGTAAGGGTTTGATTGAAATAGGAAGTGGCTCCCCAGGGATTTGCAGTGTGTTTCCTGCAATTTTGAAATATTCATAATACACTGTTTTCTCTTTTCCTTCTCCTTTTTCAATTATTTACTTTCTTTGAGGAGTTATGTTCACATTAATATTCACCCACCCCCAACCAGCCACACACACTCATTTTATTCATTCAGCAAATACTTCTTTTGTTGCTGTACTGTGCCAAATTGGATACTATGGTAGACAAATGATTCCTGCCCTCATGGAACTAACAGTGCAGTGACAGAGAGAAACATTAAATAAATAATCACACTACTAAACCTAACTACAAATTATTACGTGCAGTGGAGGAAAAATGCAGGGAGCTGTGGAAGTGTAGAGCAGGTGCCTGATCTGTTCTGGAGAGTAAGGGATAGCTTCTGTGAGAAGGTGTTACTTGAGTTGGGATCTGAAAATAGGTAGAATAGAATTCAGTTTCCTGGGAATTGAAAAGTAACTGAAAACCAAAGCAGGCCAAGAGCTACTGTTGCTGTCACTGCTGCTGCCACCCCTGCCCTGTGCTTGGATGTCAATTGTCAGGAGCTTCTGTGGGCAAAACCTCGGTTACGTGCAAAATGAAGAGTTGAAAATGAGGCTGTCACATTAAGGTAGGCCCCTTGAAGCATTATACCCTTGGTGAATATGTTGTATAAAAGATAACTAGGCCAGGCACAGTGGCTCACGCCTGTAATCCCAGCACTTTGAGAGGCCGAGGCGGGTGGATCACTT